TGTGACACATCCTGACAGTGCTGAGAGATGTGGAAATTCAACCACCACTTTTGCAGGCTAGTTCCTGCAAGAACTCAGGCAGAAACCACATCATTCTCTGAGTTAGCTGGTGATCTAGCTGATCAGCAGACCATGCATGCATAGGCAGTCTTTGTGATTTCAATTCTTGTGTAAGAACTTACTTGCGGTTTGCTGCTTTTCCCCCAAAGCTGTTTCTGCACAAAGTGAATACTATATTTGTTATGTTGCTCCTTTTTCTTTCAGTATGATTCAGCTGACTGGGACACACAGGATTTCTCTCTTCATGTCTCTATTAACATAATCTCAGTCAAATGAGTAGCCTTAATTCTTGCCCCAGCATTAGTAACACACAGTTCCTACAGATATAAATTCTGTGCTGATCATCAAAAAGTTAACTGTATGTGGAAAAAAACCTATCCTGTAACAAAACAAAGAGTTAGCTTTTATATGATCTTTGTAAGTCATAGTATATCTGTCCAGAGAATGGTTTGAAACCAAAGTCTCCTGGCAAATTCTAGATCCTCAATTATACTAAAGGTCCAAGAACCTCCATATGGTGTAAGATTTCTGCTGATGAAATATAGCTGAGTGCTGGGAAGAGCTGGGAAATGAAGACATAGAACTGAGAATTGTAAGTAAAAAGTGAAAAGCAAAGTCCATTTTGAGCCGGTAACAGCTGGTAAGTCAGTCTCAGAAATGTAATTATCAAATATCCAAGTAATACAAAGTAATGATGTCTACAAATTGAACTATGAAGACAGAAGAGGAATAGGGAAACCTTGGTGGTTTGGTGGATACAGATATCCTTTTTATTTCTTATCCCAGACTTTGTATCCCTATATATAATACTCAAACAAAATAAAAGTCCAACTAAGGCAAAAGAAGCAAAAGCAATGGAAACAAGGACAGGTAACCTTGGAAGAGCATGAAATTGGGTAGTCTAAGTATGGGGTGAGGAAGGCCAAGTCAAAGCTGGAACTGAACTTGGCAAGAGATGTAAAGAATAACAAGAAGGGCTTCTACAGGTATGTTGACCAGAAAAGGAAGGCCAAAGAAGGTGTACCTCCATGATAATCAGTGCTGGAAAACTGGTAACAACAGATGAGGAGAAGGCTGAGGTACTCAACAACTTTTTGCCTCAGTCTTCAATGGCAACCTCTCTTCCCACACCTCTCAAGTGGATGGGCAGCAGGATGGGGACTAGGGGAGCAAAGTCCCTCCCACTGTAAGTAAAGATCAGGTTCATGACCACCCAAGGAACCTGAATGTACATAAGTGTGTGGTACCCAATGAGATGCATCCCACAGTCCTGAGGGAATTTGCTAATGTAGTTGCCAATCCACTCCATGATATTTGAGAAGTCATGGCAGTCTGGTCAAGTCCCAGGTGGCTGGAAAAAGGGGGACAATTAACCCATCTTTAAAAAGGAGGATGCTGGGAACTACCAACCCATCATGAGATCCTTCTAGAAGCTATGCTAAGGCACATGGAGAACAAGGAGCTGATTTGAGACAGCCAATGTAGTTTAACCAAGGGCAAGTCCTACCTAACCAGCCTAGTGGCCTTCTGCAACAGTGTTACTAAATATCTCCATTAATGACATAGACAAAGGGATTAAGTGTTTCCTTTAGCAAATTTGCAGATGACGCCAAGTTGAGCAGTGTGGTTGACACATCTGAAGGACGAGATGCTATCCAAAGAAACTTGGACAAACTCAAGAAGTGGGCTCATGGGAATTTCATGTGGATTAAACAAAACCAAGTACAGGGTCTTGCACCTAGGTCAGGGCAACCCCTGGATGAATACAGGCTGCGGGATGAACAGATTGAGAGCAACTCTGCCAAGAAGGACTTGGGGGTGCTGGTGGATGAGAGGCTGGGCATGAGCCAACAGTGTGCACTTGCAGCCCAGAAAGACAGTTGTGCCCTGGACTGCATCAAAAGCAGCTTGGCCAGTGTTACGCCCCAGTTCACTTAGCAGGTTTAGATGAAAGTTTAGATGAAGGTTTAGACTGGGTGGTGCACAGGAGAAAGAACAAAATTCTCAGGGAGTTCACCAACAGACTTTAACTTGCAAACTTTAGAACATTAAGATAGAATAAGGAACTTGGCAAATTTTAAAACAACGTCCAAAGGAGAAGAAAGAGAAAGAAAAAAAAGGAGAGAAGGGTTCAGAGTCACCACTCTTGGATCTGATGATGAGACTTGATTGCTGCAATTTAGATGTCCATTGGTCGAAGCAACATTTGCAGTCTTGATCTATTGAGGGTGGGGGAAGCCCAAGGAAAACAAAGTTCCATGGGCTAACACACTCAGGTTCAGGTAGGAACATGCAGGGAAGATGGAGAGAGACTTTTTACAAAAGCATGTGATGATAGGACAAGGGGAAATGGTTTCAAACTGAGAGTAGGTTTAGATTAGATATTAGGAAAAAATTCTTTACTGTGAGCATGGTGAGATACTGGAACAGGTTGACCAGAGAAGCTGTAGATTCCTCATCCCTGAAAGTGTTCAAGGCCAGGTTTAATGGGGCTTTGAGTAATCTGGTCAAGTGTAAAGTGTCTATGCCCACAACAGGGGTTTGGAATTAGATGATTTAAGGTCCCTTTCAACCCAAGCCATTCTATGAATATTTTGATAAAAGAACAAACTAAGTTTTTTTCTCCTTTGTTTTCCATGACTGGTGTAGACAGCTTCCCTGGGTTTCTGGTAAATCACAGGTTTGTAACCCTCTGACTGAATAAACTGCTTAATTAGAACCAAGGGGCAAAAACTTATATTTGTGGCTACAAACAGTTATGTGGTGAAGAACGTGTGTTGTGAACTATTATTTCACTGCAAAAGGTCTAACCGAATTTATCCAAATGTTCTACAGTCACATGAATAGTAGTTCTGTAGTTAATTGTTTATTAAATATGTAACTACAAATTCAAAACAAATTCAATTACTGAATTGAAATAAAGAGGAAATGGAATTTTGCATTAAGGAACAAATTCAATTCAGCTTTGAATGTGGAGTTGCTGTCAATTTATTTTTAATTCAGTAAGTGCATATGAACTATTTAAATACATTTTGATTGCCAACTTGCATACACAGCTTTGATTTCAAAGAAAGTCAGGATTTTCCTGTAACAAGAAAGGCAGAAAATATAGTTTGAATAGCAAACAAGTCTCAGTGAGATCAAAGCATTAACCATTCTCTATGTTTCTTCAATTACTACTAATCATTTGAGCTACTGCAGTCACAGAACAAATTGTATAATTCCCTGCTTTGGGAGGCACTGCCTGTATGTTGCAATGTTTAAAAACAGACTTATGCACACAAATGCCAAAAGATACATCTCAGAAGATATGATGTTAGCAATAAGACTGCTTTATTATTCTTGCAATAAACAGCTGTCCACAAGTTCCAAAATGCAGCTGAATTTCTTAAAAAACATGCAGTACTTTCAGCTATGATCTGAGAGAGAATAAATAATTTTCAAGCACTGGAATGATGCATTAAGATTCTGACTTCAAAGGTGCAAAAATGGTCAGGTTTTCCATAGAGTAGACTCTGAATTTACAGAACATGAAACAAGTTCCTCTCGCTCCTGTATCTTTAAAAATTTTGTTGAATACAAAACTAAACGCAACTTCACTTGGATTCATATATAGCATAGGAGACTGTTGTGTCAGCTATGTAAAAATGTGCTAGTCTAGGTTTAATTTGCATCTTAACATGCTCAGCATACCTAACTAGCTTTTTGTTTAGTTGTAGATCAATATTATGGAAGTAGGAACCAAAGAATTCCATTTTATCATATTTTAAGCTGTGCTGTTTTTCTTTACCGATTATTTACAGAATGTAAGCAGTCTGGTGCTTGGACCTAAGAATGTTATAACTAAATTGCTTTTTGAAAATAATGTTGTTGCTGTAATGCTTTAGAGAAAATGAATTCTTGTTCGAAGTAAAACTGCTTTCAAAATTTTTATCCTAATATTTCAGAACAGATAGATCTTTTTCCTAGTAAAACCTAGTTCTACAACAGAGTATATTATTTACTGAACAATTTAGTCCAAGATCAGTTTAAATGCAGAAAAGTTGTTTGTCCATTATGATAGACATTCTTGCATTTGAACATTAGTTAAGTATCCTAATTAGGTTATTTTTATTTGTAAGAAAAAAGGTATGTGAGAAGCAAACAGAACACTCTGGTTGATCTCCTATATAGTAATGCAGACAGCATTGACAATTTGCAATAAGACAGAATTCCTCTTAGTGTTCAAAAAGTCATAATCAGATCAGGCTGAGTAACTCAGTAGAGTTCCATAGGCAAAAATGGCCTAAATGTATAGTCAGAAATACCAGGAAATCCAATTATTGTATGGCAAGAAAAGACTGTTCTCAGCTCTGAGGTGTGTTGAAGACAACATCCAGGGTAAAAAAGTAGACCCAAAACAGCTCTTGTTTGGAAGTTGTTCCTGTGATACAGTTTGATTTACATTGGTTAAACAATCAATATTATCAATATCATCAGTATGTCAATTTGTTATTTAATGCCTGTCTTTTCATGAATCATGATATTACTGGTATGTGCTTATATACTGAAAGAAGAATTTCAAGGTTCTTTCAAATTTTGTGGAAATGTCCTGATTGATTTTTTCTTACTTCATCATTCATTGTTACTTCCCTAAAAGGAAGAATTCAAATACTCTTATCATTCAAATATCAAGAATTACTTTTTAATGCTGTTACTTTACAAACCATGCTCATCATCATACTCCTTCTGAATTATCTTTTAATGCTGCTTCTTGTTAGATGATGTATGTTCCTTCAACATCTCTAGTTGTACAAAATGGCAGATCTTTTGATGGCCTCAGTCTCACCCAAAGATGAGGATTCAATAGTTTAGACTAAACCATCAACTGTTCCTTCAAGCTACCACTTCAACCAATCTTTGTGCCTAGTGTTTATTTTTCTTTTATGTTTACCCTACAGGGCTCTATGAAAACTATCCAACCAATGCAGAACCAGAATGCTGTGATGTCAGATGGGGACTATTATCAGATCATCAATCCAAAGGGACTATAAAAACAAGTGGCTCAACAATGTGTCACAGGACATCGCTCACAGTTTCATCAGCATCAAGACTGTGTAACAGCAGACTTAAACTGTGTGTTCTTGTATTAATTCTCTTACATACAGTACTTACAGTCTCAGCAGCACAGAACTCAACAGGACTGGGCTTTGGAGGCATAACAACTTTGGAAGATAATTCAACCAATGAGGAATAAAAGAAAGGATTCATTTTACATGACAGAAACACAACAGGCCCAAATGACTACAGTCAAAAACAGCAAAGACTGAGTGCTTTACCCTCAGATCTCTTCTTGAATGACCTTTTGGATAAAATGAAAAGGATGGGCCACTACCCAAACAAGGACACATGAACACAGCTTTTTATTGACTAAAAGGCTGTTTGGTGACTTAAATTTCTCACACCATTTTATACACTGTGTTTTAATGTTTGGAGTTTCTTTTTTTGTTTGTTTTTTTGCACTTGTTAATACAGGATTTTATTTTTGGGACGGTTTATCAAAGCTAAATTAAGTCTTTTCTCTGTCAATATCTTTCTAGTCATTGTGTGTGTTCATCTGATAGTTCTGTCTTTTATGTCCTGTCAGTTTCTATTAGAGGAATGACTGCTATGATTCCATGACATAGCAAAAAAAAAAAAAAAAAGGAAAGAAAAAAAAAGGAAAAAAAAAAAAAAAAAGAAAAAATCAACAAAAAAACCACAAAAAAAACCTCAACAAAAAACCACAAAAAGAACAAAACAAATTTAACCAAAAAATAGAAAATAAATAAAAAATAAAAAAGGCAACCACAAAAAAAACCCAAATAAACCTTACTGTCCTCTTACCCATGGGAACCATTCATCTCCTTTCCCTTTCCCATCTCCTGTCACAGACAACACACATTTGCTTCTGTCTGTGTAATCACAATGAATGGGTACACAATTCTAGTGTGCCTCTGCCACTGTTGCACAAAACAGTTGACTGAGCAAACCCAAAAGGAGCATGAAGGTGGTTCCTTTTAGCTGAACAAACAAGTGCTCTCCTTAAAAGGTGGGATCGGACAGTTAAAAAACGTAAAGAAATATATAACAAACTGTTGCTCCAATACCCGTTTGAAGAAGTCCAGTCCTTTCTCACTGGTCAGTTGAACAGGAGCAGCCTTTAATAGATATGCTACGTAAAACCAGTTATGCTCAGCAAGTTGAGTAGTTGGGAAACCTTCATATTGGAGGTGAAGGATTGACATTCATTGTGAATCATGTTTTGAGTTCTCCTGCTGTCACATAACCAGCAGCTTTCCATATGGAACGGGAGCTAAGAACTTCCAAAATCCAACTCTTTTTTGTCTCAACAAAACTACACTAGAAGTCTTTGAGCATCTGCAATACAAAGTATCTCTTTGGTTTTGATTCCATTGTTTTTCTAATATCTACATGTTATTGAAAGTTACTCTAGTTTATTAAGGATGCACAAGAATGTGTTAGCACAGATAAAGAAACTATTTTTTTTTAATATATAGGACAACCATTTTCATAAATGTGCAATAAAACCAGTAAAGATATAGTAGGATACGAGTAGTCAAGAGAAAAGATTGTAATACGATTGCTGATTTTTCTTTTTTTGGGGTGGTTTTTAATTTGTTTACTTTTATTTTTGTGGGAACATTTCACCTGCTGAGTGTATGAGAATTTGCTTTCTTAAAAGGCTTTTTAGAGTTTACAGTAGAATCAATGGAAGGAAAAGTTAATAAGGGCTGTTTTTAAAAACTTTACATTCCTTCCTATTCTCTAACTACACTTGGGAAGTGCACTTTAGAGATATTTGCTGTGTAGCTGGGAAATGAAGGAAACCTATAGAAAATGTTCTCTTAGGAAATAAAATATAGTTACCTACTTTCTAGCTATGAAATACCCCTTCATAAATATTAATGTTGTAAGAACATTTAATCACTGGTGCATAATGCATTTTTGTATACACTTTATGGTCTGTTAAATTCTGGAGAAAAACAAGAAGATAACCATGCTGCTTAAGCGGTTCAAGATGCACATGTTAAGCTGCGAAAGCTCAAATACTTTGCAAGAGCATTTGTTTTGATAGTCTTTTGCTACAACCCGGACTGAGGAGCCTAAAATGATCTGTGCAAATATGACAACAACAAAAAGCACCAGCTAATGCAAAACTCTTCAGCACTGGTTTGTTTCTATAATTCTTCCCTTCCCTTTCTTGCACATGCTATATTTTGTTCAATAAAACATGGTGCTTTTTATTTATTTTCTTTTCTTTTAGAGGCACATGTATTAATTGTAGTGAACTGATGAAAAACTGGGGAAAAATGTAGAAATGCAAAAGAAAAAGCCTTAACTAATGGTAGAATGTAGACTTTTGAAAGGACAGAGATGTTACTGAAAAGTGATGGAGCAATAACTGGGCAGTGCTCTGGTACTGTACTACAGCTGATGAGTCACACTACTGAGAAAGCTCTTACTAGGTGAGCTCTTGTTCAACTGACCTCTTAATTCTAGTAAGTGTACATGGTCAGTAAACAGTTTGTTATAACCTTTATCTACCTCTGCTGTGCAAAGGCCATCCAACATACATTTCTGTGATGTTCCTCATGGTTTTTTTTGTTCACACCATTACTCACTGTCATCTATTTTTACACTGTACCAATACAGTAGCAAGTCTGGTTCATCCTGATTGAATTGGCACATGAAGAAAAGTTATTATTTCTCTTTTGCCTCATGGTGAGTTAATGTAGAGATCTATCTTTAAGATATTTTATTTCTTCTCTCATGCTCTTCTTCATCTTTCATCCCTTATTTTTCTATAAAATGGTTTTCAAGTGGTGTCAGTGAAAAATACGACTCCTCCACTGCTTGGTTACACTCTGTCATGTGTCATACAATATGAGAGAGACAGGAGGAAAAACAGTGACAATGGCGTCACATGCATAAAGTAGCCTAATTAAACTTGGGAAAATGAAGTAGAAAACAACTACAGACTTTCAATTATTACTCAAGTACAACATGTAATAAATTTGTCCCACTCTTCCCACCTGGAGTTAGTGCCTGCAGTTCAATGGTCTGTGAATTTTCTGTCATCTTTTTGAGGTCTACTTCTTTAATTTCTGAAACAAAGAGTCATGTTGCAGGGGTGACTACTGCTGGGGTATCTGTTGCCATTTTCACCCTAGCAGTGTGGTAAGCAGCTTCTCTTGGTGGCACCTGGGGACATCAGGAGTAGACAAAGACTCTTCTATGAAGTTAAGCAACATGTAATCATGTATGATGCAAAATTCCATTCCATCCATTCTTCATTCGTAATAGTTTTCCTGGCACAAACTTAAGCATGCTTGATATTGTGCACATATTACTTTTTTCCAGAATAAATTTGCATCTTGCCACTGCTATAACTGCCATCTTGTTCCATTTCTCCTTGTACTGTATGCCTAATACATACATGATAAAGAGCTGGCTTAACAAAGAAGTAATACTAAAATATTTCTGCAAATGACTGATGAGAAGAAAAAAAAATAATATTTATTTTATGATCATATGGAAGAAAGATATTTCCCATGTCTTTTATCATCTTATTTTCTACAATAGGGAAAATCCAGATTTTGTACAATATGTTAATACTGCTAAGCCAAATGTCATATAACATAACCAGAGCTATATGTTATTCTTTCTTGCATTTGCATTCAGTAATACAGTATATTAATGCTTTTCTTTCATTAAAGAGACAGTATCTTTTTTCTTTTTTTTTTAATTTATTTTAATATAGCAGGTGAAGGCTGTCCTTCTGCACACCAAAATTCAAAGACAAAAACCAACAAAATTCTAGAATGAAGTTTTAGCTCTATAAATGATGAAACCAAGTCATCAGCTGCCAAAGAATTTGTGGAACAATAGTTACAAACCAAACAAAGAAATTTCTTCTTGAGAGTTTAATGCTATTCTACATGATTAAAGAAGAAAGAATGAGAGCTGTATTTCAAACAGCAGAGATGGTAGGTTTCATTCAGTACATATTGTGGCTCTCAGCTCATGTAGTTATATTCTTCTATTAAAAAGTGAGGGACAAGGACATTGTCTTTTGCTCTCTCTGTATTTGTTATGATAATGAATGCCCTTTTGGTAAGCATTGCCTCTCTGCACAGAAGATACATGCTTATGTGAGAGCTGAAGACAGCTTATGTACATGCACACAAATTTACACAGTGAAATCTGTATTAGGTGACTATCCAAAGCACAAGCAAAACTCATTTGCAGAATAGAGCTAGCTTTAAGGAAAGTGAAAAAAAATTTGTGTTAGGAAATTTCAAGATACATGTAAAGAATCAACTAAATAAGGAATCTGTGAAGGTGCCTGATCCTTACTGCAGCTTTCACTGTATATCCTGTCAGTGATAAGACCAGCACAGACAGGCTTCAAGCTGGGCTCAGAGTCATGCTGACTTCAGTGGGCCTTGATACAGGCAAAGGCACACTCCTACAAAAAATTCATGGTAGCACATAGGTCTCCATTTTTTGTCCCACAATCCTTACTCAGGAATTGCTTATGGACATAGTGCATAAACAGAGGATCACTGGGTTCAACCCTAGCTAACTGAGTCTTAATAAGAGACTGGCAAAAGCATATTATTGTTGAATGGTTCTGTTTTTTTTATTATTGTCTACTCATATTAATTTGGCGGAGTGGTTTCAAAATCGAACTAGGAGCACAGAGGACTAACTACCAGAAACTTTGTCATTGTGGAGATGAAATTAAATAGCCTTTCTGGGGTAAAAAGAGGGTTTGTCATCTGTTAGCAGCTGTCAGGAAACAGTAGTATTTTAGAAAAGCTTGGGAAAATAATATGTCCAGTTCTGAATATGATAAAGCTAGATTTTTGGATGGGAGTTAGGACTGGAGCACATATCATCTCAACTGAGGGATTTAATTTGTCGACATCTTCTACAACAACTCTGAGCAAGTACGCTTATTGAAGACCTCTAGATGTCCAGTATTTTCCAGCATTTTTTCACACATTAACAAGCTTGATCTTTCCCTGAAGGGAGAAGAAAGAAGAAAGATTTACTGTGAGTGATTTGGGGGGAAAAAAGTTTTGGTCAACTTAGAAAACCCATCTGAGAAACCAGCTATAATTCTTCAAAATACAACAGGGATGAAAAAAAAAAAAAAGGGCATGTGTAGGTTTATATCTATATAGAAATAGTACTATTTTAAAAGAGAGACATGAATGTATGTTCTCTACAATTCTTAAAATACAGTGTACTGTAGGGAAAAAATACCAGAGAAAATAAATAGGGCAAAATTACTGTATTTATATTATT